ATTTCAACACTCTCCTTCCAGGAATCTATTGACATTTGTGAATTCATATACTGATGATATAATATTATTTTTTTTACACTGAGGTGATGATTGTTGTTCTCTCACTGATAAATTAAAAACTGCAGCATAACAATACTTGGAAATGCATGAGAGAAATTAGCTGTACTGAAGTGTGCTGCATCGACCTGACGCTTAGTTACATTTGTTGGGAGGTGTACATCGGGTTATGGAGTAGTCCCTCCGAATCACAGGATGCTGCTGTTGCTAGCAGCGGTCGCAGAGAAGTACCAGAAAAGATAAAGAGGTACGTACAACAGTGTGAGCAAGAGACAGAGGAAGGTGTAATGTGGTAATAATTTAGATGGAGGGACATAATTGGGAAGGGGAGAAATTCAAATAAAATGAATGGCTACTTTGACTATAAGCCACTTCTAATAGCTTAAGTGTAGCTTGTAATTGTCAAATTCTGCAGGACATCAGTTGTTTGGTTTTTCTTTTTTGTTTTTTAAGCAAGAGTGGTGTATTTAAAACAAACATAATATATATATATCACAAGTCTACTCATGTGACGTTTCTGGCTACCTGATAACCATGAGTCAAACATCCATTGTCCTCTCTGCTCCTTTCTGTTCTTCACAAAATCTGTAGGAAATATCAGTCTCTTTAGCAGCTAAATGCTGTTTGGTTTGTTGTTTGGTGCTGAACACAGTGTGCAGTGGGCCTGGTGGGGATATTTTTCTTCTTTTACTGGAAACAACTTCTTCTGGTTAAGATATTAAAGAAAAAAATGAGAATGGACCAAAACATTAAAGCTGCAGGCAGTGAAACCAATGACCGACGTACATCATGCAAACGACACTTCATTGGTAATCCAGTGATTCCCAGTGCATCAATCACCTTTTACCATCAATATCTAAGCTGTAATTGTCACAGCCGTCTGGTCGGTGTGTGGAGTGTACCCAAACGCAGACAAACAACCAAGCGTGAAAACGAACTTAATTGAAACCAAAAGCGAGACATTTTATTAAGGCTGAACAGAACAGAGAAATGAAAAGACAGGAAAGAGCTAAACTATAACTGAACTGGGAAAAGCTAAACTAAACTCTAAACACAGAATGCAGAACATGTGATAGTCAGTTTACTTTTGACGAGACAAAGAGAGAGAGAAAGAGAGAGGGATGCGGGAGGGGGGCATTACTGGCTGGGGAGAACATACATGAAAGTACACTAAGGACAGGGGAGACAAGAAATAACACACAAGGAGGGGAACATGTAAACAGGGAAACACAACGACGCAACACGGAGGACATGAGAGACTCGAACTGGAAGCAGGGAATGAGACCGCAACAAGAAAACAGGAAATCCAAATAAACTATAAAAAAGGGGAACTAAAACACAATACTGAATTATAGAGAGCTAAAACATTACAACATAATAAACTCAAAATGAGTGACAACCATGACAGTAATTAAATGTATTAGTTACATCTTCTCAGAAAGAGATGGGAAGAAATAGTGAAGTGCAGAGACTGTGTTGTATTTTCTGTCAGCTGTAAATGGTGTCGGCTTCTCCAGTTTGATTTTGTAAATCTTTCTTTCCTTTGAGTGCCCCGTCACTGGACATGTATCAAGTCTATGTTTTGTGTATATTTTCTTAGACAATTATGCTTTCAGAGATGAATGTCTTTTTTTTATTAAGCACTATCATCATAAAAATGTGCACACCTCACTCCCACTCATACACACACACACACACACCAACCCCGCTACTTCCTGTTCTGCTTTAAGCAGAACCAAAGTCGCAAACGACATTCAGTAATCACACTTTCCAGAGTCACTCAGACACAACATGACCTGCATCAGGTTTGCAGAGCTCCTGCTTTTCCTTCTCCTCCTCCTTCATGAGGTCTACAGTGACAACCCAGAACCTGCTGTCAGAGCAGAGGGTGAAGTTATGGAGTTGGGATACTGTTTCGCAATGGATTATATTGTTGTTTATAGATCTGCTTCAGAGGGAGACCAACTGCTTGGCAACTCTTCAAACAAGAACATGCCCAACACACCACCTGCAGACCTACAGGGTCGTACCCACATCAGTGACGATCCCAACCTGCTCGGGTTTCAAATCAGTAACCTCACTCTCTTGGACTCTGGGATTTATAGGAGGGAATGTTGGAAGAACCAGACGATAATCAGCCAGAAGACACAGCAGCTCACTGTGTGTAAGGAGCAGATTGAATCTGAAGACATAATTGTAAGTAAAGACGGTAAAGGGACTGAGATCTTGTGCAATAACAGTGCTATTGGCTCTGAGGGAACATCTGTACGCTGGTACCATGAAATGTATCCGTCTTATGAGCCCACACTCTTCCTGGATAGCAGTGTTTCGCTGAAGCCTCTGGTGAAGGAGCTTGCAGGTGTGGTAGATGTAAGAGACAACGGTGCATTGCTTGTGTTCAACAACATGTTACAGAAAACCACACACTTTAAGTGTGTTGTGATGAAAGGTATCAGCTGTCTTAGTTTCCAAACCATGCACCCACCAGATGAGAGTGAAAGCAAGGACGTTTTTGTCTCACTGGGGGACAGAGTGCTTCTAAATTGTTCTATTGATGAGGGTGACCAGGTGTGGGAAATTCCACTGGGAAGAATTGATGGTAACACGAGGGGCAGTCCAATGTACATATCAGCTGATGACTTCTCACTGGTTATACCTGCCATCTCTGCAGACTACATTGGAGACTATTCATGCATCTCCCCTTCACGTGAGATTCATTATGCATTGTTTCTTTGCCCCAAAAACAAACTCCAAGAAAAAGTTGCTGATGAAGGTGAAAATGTCTCCCTGATGTGTGATTGTGGCCAAGATGTTTCAGCTATAGTGCAGTGGCACCGCTATGGACTTTCAGGGCACTATGAGATCATCCACGACTCACAGGACAAAACTGTTCCCATCCCTAAAGATCTACGAGGCAGAGTGACTCTATCTGAGGATGGGACTTTGCTGACCATCAACGACCTGAAGGTGTCAGATGGAGGGAAGTACTTGTGTGCTGTTGTTAAAACCCTGGATTTCGCAGGGAATTATACGGATTATGATACAGAATATGATGACAAAGGTACTGAAGAAGATGAAATGGACAACGAGTGGACAGAGTCTCTGGAATGTATTTTTAAACAGGAGATCACTTTGAATTTACCCAGCAGTCCTCCACCACCGCATATGCCGTATGTTGTGGTGGCAGTAGTGGTGCTGCTGCTGGTGGTAGCTGTAGTGATTGTCACAGTGATAGTAATAAAGAAAAAAGCAAGGCCTTTGCCACTGCAGAGAGAAGCAACATTGTATGTAAAAATGGATATGGATCCTGGCTGTACTGAGAAGATGATTGATTGATTGATTGATTGATTGATTGATTGATTATACTTTATTCATCACGAGGAAAATTTGGTTAAGGCTGTTAGCTGGCTAAGTTAACTCTATCTGAACGATATTGCTTAATAGCCTTTGTAAAACAGCTCCAAGGTGGCTTAATATCCACCTGACACATGCTGTGCTGTAGAATCTGTACATAAATCAAAAGTGTTGCTATTTTCACCTGTTGTATACCATGAGAAGACTGTTTTTAGACATTTTTTCAGTTTATGCCTTTATCTTTCCAATTTCTTCCTAACTAGAAATGACTATGGATATCACACACCGCAATCCGATAAAATATCGTTTCTTTCAAACATAATTTTGACTTATGACTGAAATCATCAAAGACCCTTTTGATAGAAAGTCCTCTTCTAGCTTTAATGCTAAATCCAATGTAAAAAAAAAATCAAGGTGCTAGTATAACACAATAATATTGTAGCTATCTAATTTTTTAATTGTCAGATGACCTGAAAAATTTATTGTGGCAGTGATGTGATATCAAACAATGAATAAAGTCAGTGAGGACACTCTTCTGTCAGTAGATCATTTGTTTTGAATCATACAGAGAGCAACAGCCCAGCAAACCGAGTTGAAACCCTGACATCATTTCCCTGGTAAAAAATAACCTATACAAAAAAAAAAAACCCCAAACAAACAAGTTTTTGAGAAGAACAAAAAAGTGAAGGAACAGCTTCAATTCAGTTCAGTTCAATTCAAATACTTTATTGCCCCTCAAAGGGAAATTAGGTTAGCAGCAAGGCAACAAGAAGAGTAAACAAAACAATAATAAAAAGCCTCAATTGCACAGTTATTTGTAATTGAAGAGACAGGTCGCAGTAGGGATAAAGGAAACTAATAGGAAAAATAAGCTAATAGGAAAATATATATCTAGCGTATTATATGCATCATATGATTAAAACATACATTACCCTTCCGTCTCACAACATGAGTCCCTGCTTCTTTTAAGCGTGCAATCCTTCACGTTTTGGTTTCTGTCACCCCCGCAACTGTTCAGTCACGTTGTTATCACCTCAAAAAACTTCTGTTGTGGGTTTTTGTTTTTCTTATTCAACTTTCATTTCATTTTTAAGATCTATTTCTGTTGTGTTTTATTCAACGTCCACTGTGTTTTGCTTGCTTTTGCTGTATTTTTCTATTTGATGTGTTTTCTTAAGTTGCAGGGGATTTGACCTCTCTGGGCCACCTTATTAATGGCTCCTAAAGCATTATTATTATTATTATTTTAAATAGGCTAAAAAATAGCAGTCTTTGTACATGGAGGAAACATTGTGTGGCTGCCTTTTCACAGCTATGTTTTAACCAGATCAGTTGTTTTTTTGTTGTTGTTTTTTAAAAGACAAATGCATCCAATTCCTTCCTCTCAAAAATCTAATTGACATTTCTAACTTTGTAAGAGACAGTCTGAATACATAACTATACTACGTGGATTAAGGTTAGCATGCATCTGTCTCTTGTGCAAATTTTGCAGTTTTATCAAAACTAGTTTTGACTTAGGAGATGACATCTGGGTTTTAACCATGTTTGCTAGAAGAGGTCTAAAGAGACCTTTTGTTTTTACAATGTAAGAATATTGATCAGATCATCCCGATGAAAGAATTAAAGGCAACTAATTTGTTGCCTACAAGACTAGTAGCACTATAGTCTGAAACAATCCATAATAAATATAATAATCATGATATACTACTAATAAGTATTGACACAACACAGCAAGCACCTGTTTCTGGAAGTGAAAAGTGTTTACTTTAGTGTAATGTTTCCATTAGTGGTCAAGCGCTATGTTGGCTGCATTTTGTCTGGAGCACACCCACCACCACCTAACCCCTCCCACCCCCAAAAGACATTTAGTAAACAATTAAGCAAACACAAGTAAACTGCAATAAGTTACAGGTAGTAATAAAATAAACGTACTCTTTTGTGCCACGTCCAAAACCTACACTGCTATTCTTGAAAACGCAGCTGTTTCTATGCATTTGGACCTTTTGTCCACATGTAAACTGCGTTTCGAATCACTGAAAACGGAGATTTTCTAAAACTCGCGTGATGTCACCGCAGGGGGCGTGACCGCCGAGGCGCCATTTTAGCAGGCCAAACAAAGGGCTAAAGGAGCGAAAGCATCAGCAATGGATCGCACTTGCTGTGTTATCGGTTGTAATATTAGATTGCACAATCGGGAAGGAAATAAGCTGGAAAATGGGCTCTCTTTTTATCCTTTTCCACCTGGAAGCAACATGGGGGAGCTTATGTATCGGATGTTACCAAAAGAAGGCATCTAGCCTGAATAGCAGCTGTGAGACGAGCTGATATCCAGTTCTCTACCATCCCCAGATATCTGTTGGTGTGCTCCAGACATTTTCATTCAGGTAAGATCTAAATAAGTTCATATTACTCTTTATAGCCTATTAGTTTTATTTTCAATGCACTCTGAGGTCATAGCAAATTAGAACAAACATCCTAATGAGTGATTTTGTGGATATACGTTCTATTTATAGAGTTGCTAATTGTTTTTTATTATTGCAGGCAAACCAGCCTATGAAATGGATGAAACAAATCCTGACTGGGTTCCTACACATGGGGCACTACCAAATCCCTGCTTCAAACTACATGCTACATACCACCATGCCAATCAGATTACTTCTTCCATGTGAGGGCGAATATGTGCCCAAGTGTTGTAGTAAAACCAGGAAAAATGTTTTTGTTAAATACTCTTAAAAGTCTTGTGCTGTATATGTAGTGATAAGTTTTCAAAAGAGACAGTAAATAAGAGAATGCTAGTAGTGGCTGATATTATTTAAATGCTGTCATAATTTTATGTGAACATTTTGTCATTTGTAAACTATAAACAACAAGGATTCTACATTGTTACTGATGTGAGGTTCTACAACAGGGGTCACCAACACGGTGCCCGCGGGCACCAGGTCGCCCGCAAGGACCACATGAGTCGCCTGCGGGCCTGTTCTAAAAATAGCTCACCATAACAACTTACCAGTAAGCTGCATCTATTTTTATTTTTTCTTGCTATTTTTTTTAATCACAATTGCATTGGCGTTAATTTGTTAGAGATAATATATAAAAAAAATGTTTATTATTAAATATTAGATCATGATCTAATATTTAGTGCTAGCTGGTC